TTCAAGTATGTTGGGCCACTCACTGTATTAAGAAGTATTAAGAAAGTTTGTCAACTGTATGTTAGGAAAAATGGATATAAATGTGAACATGTCAATGAATAAGTTACTGAATAATTCCGGAATTCAATTATTTTAGTAAATATTTAATCAGGTGCTTATTCTACATTATGGACTTTTAATTACTATTTATTTGTTGCTATCAGGTACCCAAGTTTAGTGTTTTGTTAATTAATAAGTGTTGATATTGGTTTTGACCTCTCCATGGAAAAATTTGAAGAAATATTTCTTCAATTGAAACGTTTTTTATAAAAAAAATCCATAACCAACTATCAAAATTCAATATTTTAGTGATTTTGGGCAATTTTGAAAGTTTTATATTCATTCTTCATATATCATTTCGAAGACAAAAAATGAGGAATTCAATGAGCTTATGAAATACAGGTTGTTCCATTTAAAAAATCATAAGTTTGAGTCGTATCTCCAAAATCATACCCCGAGAAAAAAATTTAAGTGCGCCACTGGATTATGCGTGAAATTCTCTATGCGATGAGATTCTGATTTGACATTTTTGTTGAGAAACTTCGTGGATATAGAGGGGGTCCAAAAAGTATAAATTTTTCGAAATCGCCCTGTATCTCATTAACGGAAACAGTCTTGCAAAATCTGATTAGGCCATCTTGAGTTTCACAAAAAAGTGGCACAGGTCCGCGAAAACCGTAAGGTTTTATCTCCAAAGATAACTGAGATATCATGCAAAAGCATCGAAAATTGGACACACTGTACACTTGGTATATCGTGGTATATGCTATGACCGGTATATGAGAATCTGGAATTCATGCTACACCATTTTTCATAATGTCCATATTGCAACTCGAATTTTAATCACCAACTCGGCAAAATACCTATTCATGCCTTTGGCTATGAAATGATCAATTTTTTTTCTCATCTCCGGACAGAAGATATGACCTAGCTCTATCCGACGAACGTCTGATAAGCTCGGGCACTAATCAGTACAAGTGAACGTTCAGCTGTGTTGCCACTTCCTCCAAAGATAGGGACTATTCGATACTAGGTTACTTGAACTTTCAGAGTGTAATAAGGAAACTCTCCCGTTCTGATAGAATGAAATGATTATTTATGTACCACGTGAATATTCAACCGAGGGCCATTGGCCTTTGTATAATGTTTTTCACGAGAGTGAGTATGTAGTCAGTGTACTAGAAAGAGTTATCTTTCAGGAGTCACCTGAAGTCCAAGGTTTATCATATTTCTATGAGTAGTAGAGAAGACCTGATGATCAAGAGAATATAGAAAACACCTATCGAGAAATGAAGATCAAACCAGATGTCATTAGAAAATCTGTAAACCACTTTTCTATGTGGGGAAGAATGTGTATCCAACAGAATGGTGCTAATTTTAAACAAATATTGTATAATGTTGTGGTGTTTTTCATGAGAGTGGTTAAGGGGTATGTAGTCAGTGTACTAGAAAGAGTTATCTTTTTTTCCCATCATTCATTGTATTGTTACGTAGTGGGTATAGGTATATGTTGTACCTTTCTTGGATTGGGTGTTCTGTATATTACATGTCTATTTCTAATTCAGTTGTATTCAGCATTTTCGCAAACTACAAGAAATGAGCAGAAATAATATGTTGAGGACATACTATGGGTATTAAAAATCGTCTGTGCACGATTGAATAGTGCATCGATGAAATTGAATGTTGGTGCTCTCCTCGGATATGACAATATAATTGAGAAATTCGAGTATGTGGTGTTATTTTCGGACAGAAATTGAAGATTGTATGTTAAGCCAGGCCTGATGCATTCTATCTATTTTGATACCTGAATCAATTCGACAAGATAGATTGAGTAAGTGTTCCAAATCAAAGAAATATATACAGGTTGGTTGGAAACTTAAGAGACAATGAAGATGAAACTTCCTGTATCTTGGTTATAAGATCCCGAAGACTCATTAACCATGGATGTTTTTGGAATCACCTCAATGACCCCCATCCACAGTTGGAGAATTTACGTTTACCAAAGAAACACCCTGAATTTTATGTATATCTGAGTAGAACATGATCATACTATTAATGCAAATTCAGAACTACACTAAAAAAAATGTTGTTTGAGGGTAGGTTTGATATAGTATGATTTCCATGTTATCCATAAAACTGATCGCCTCTAGTTCCCTACAATATCATCATCGACATGATCATATTATATGTTCTCCAATTGAACTCTCTGTTGCCACTTTTGATTCCATTTTATCTTCTTCTTCTTTCTCTTTCTTTGTCAGTTGAACCAAATCAATATATTTGTTAAAAATATGTATCTTTATAGCCTATGTAGTCGATTTCACGAACTTAGAACTTCAGTATTCACTTGATAATTATGAATAAATAGCATTCAATTTCTGTATCTCAAATATAATTTTGTATATTCACTAGTACGAACTTACTATCAGTTTATTTTCAATAAATCAGAATTATATGTAGTACTTACGAACATACCTTCATGATGTTATGGGTTGAATGGAAGAGCAGTCACTATTATCTTCGGATAGGAGTGACTCAATTCCGCCCTTACATATTGTCTGATAAATTTTGTATACCACCAAGGTTTTGATTATGTAGTCGATTCCACGAACTTAGAACTTCAGTATTCACTTGATAATTATGAATAAATAGCATTCAATTTCTGTATCTCAAATATAATTTTGTATATTCACTAGTACGAACTTACTATCAGTTTATTTTCAATAAATCAGAATTATATGTAGTACTTACGAACATACCTTCATGATGTTATGGGTTGAATGGAAGAGCAGTCACTATTATCTTCGGATAGGAGTGACTCAATTCCGCCCTTACATATTGTCTGATAAATTTTGTATACCACCGAGGTTCTGATTATTTTGTAATTCGGGCAATATGAATAAAGACATATTATTATTATTATAATTATTATTATGTAGATGCACCACGTCAACAATAGATAGCGTTTCTGAGATGTGCTGATTTTCAATATCAAAAGTTCTCAAGGCGATGTTGAATAATGATTGACTGTATCAAATGCGTATTTGTACAAGGTGAGCCAAATCAGGCACTTCTAAAGGGAGAGTCCTCTTCCCATGAAAGATAGAAAAAACTGATGTCGGTTTCTGTTGATCAATTCACAGGACAAATTCGAAGGTGGAAGCCGCATATCGATATCTATCTTTATTTCAGAGTTACAAGGTATTTTTCGAAAATGTGAATTTTTGAAAAGCAGGTAGCTGAAACTCCTTTTTTTCGTCAAAAATTCTTCGTTTTCATGAGAACATTCTCAAAGCATTGTCGTTGTCACGAAAACTGACCCTAGGCACTGAAGTCCGAACACCGAATACCTAGTAGCATAAGCACTTGTCTTTCAAGAAGAACAAGTTATATTCTTGAATTAGATATAGGAAGGCTGACTTAAGTGCCTCTAGAACAATTTTTATCACAAACTCGATGCCTTGCAGTTATTTCCATTAGAACAGACAATTTTTGCCAGGAAAAATATCTGTAGTTACTTTCCAAAAGTGCTCATTTTCGAAAAACACCTTGTAACTCCGAAACGGAGACAGATATCGATATGCGAATTTCACCGGCACCGTGTCAGAAGTGTCCAATTTGGCTCACCCTGTACATGGAACGATCGATATCAAACAGGTATGTAGAGTGAATTCGATTGATTTGTTCAACCTTATGGTATCAGAAACATATCTTGATAACACGTTTGATCATAGTGGAGTTGTATCATTTATGAGGGAAAATAAATGCCAAAATTATCTATACGATAATTGATTGTGATGGAGAATATTTTGGGTTCAATATTTCCTCCCCCATATTATATTATTATATAGGGATTCTGAGTATTTCAAGTTACTTCGTGATCTATCTGGCAACACTGGCCTTCAGCCATCATTCGAAGGGAATTATTCCAGGATGGAAACTAGGAAAAACTAGTTACCAAGAGAGATTCTTGCTGATTTTGAATGCTCGTCAGGATCTCGGTTGCTGATGCAATTACATAGAAGGCTGAAAAGGAGACACGACTATGCGGACTATATCGCTCTGTGTGTAATGTAATTTCAAGGAAATCAAAAAGTCTTAAGTGGAACATTTTGTTGTCTGCAACATGAGACGAATATACAGTTATAGTGTAGTAGATATGCGATAAAAAATGGTCTCAGGTGGAAATAATTCCCACAATTTTTTTTTTGCTTTTCTCAGTTCAGAATGCATAGAATAACACATATGAGAAAATATAGAATGATACCTTTGTGCAAAATAAAAATACAGTGTTTGCAATATTCGTTTATTCGTTGATACGTTCAAATCATAAACCTAATAAAAATGGCATATTCGGCATGTAACAGAAGTTCATTCATTATCTTCAACTTCCTCGATTGGAATATTGGTACCTTCCCGAACAATTATTGCACAATACTGTGCAAAACATTCCGTATCGTCGACATATTCATCTGGTTCCACAAGGTTCATCCACTTCAGTTTTGGAAGTACTTCCGTACGTCATCATATGATACAGAAAACCCAAGCTTATGAAGTTCATCGGAAAGTAACCGAGATCGGAAATCTCGATGATACTGCACACCAACACCTAGATGAATGGAACTTATGATAGATCGTGGCCATTCAGCTTGCATTAGTGCCTGTTCAATTGAATTTTTCTTCAAACTTGAGGATTTTTTGTTGATTATTATATCCAAGAATGTTTTCAAAATGTCGGGTAAAAGCTTATTATTTTCTTGCTCGAAACTTATTTCTTCTGGTGAAGAATGAAACTCTAAGGATGATGTTCTCATCAACTTGATTGAATTCTCAATTAGTTTAGCTGTTGTTTCAACTATCCGAAATTTTTCAGCATTAGGATCTTCTGAACACTTTTGTCGCTGATAATCACAAATTATATTGGCAAATGTTTTCCCTTGTTACGATTATATTAGCTCTACCTTGTTGTCTCAATATCATAATGTCATCCGAGAAATATTTTTTATGCATACGACGAACAGTGTAAGGTTCGATATTTTCTGGCAGCAGCTCTGCCATTTTGTCCAGCAACTCCTGAACTGAAATTTTGTCATCATTTTTCTTGAGCCTGCCAACTTTGTCTATTGGGAATATCATGTTGATGTTTCTTAGGAATAGAGTAGTCTTTTCCAAAATTCACACTACATTTCTGATTATACAGAGCATCTGCCCAATGTTGGCATCGATAACGAAAAGAAGACGTGCAAGGACATTTGATGATCAAAAATCGTTTCTTGCATCACACACATCAATAAAAGTTTGTCGAAACGCGAAAGTTCGTACTAGTAAAATTGCAGATTCAATTATTTTCTCAGTTTCCTTGATGAATTGGCCACAGAACAAGCAATTATCTTTGAACGCGAATGTCGGCAGCTCAGTATACTAGTTGATGTTTCTCTATCGGGATCTGATTTAAACCTGAGATCATTCTTCATCTTGTTCGGATTCACGTACAAACGACGGCATTCGACGTGAACAATTAGAGGATGAATAGGCACTGGTTCCAAGAGTTCAATTATTTTGTCTTGCTCCTACTTGCTAGCACTTATAATTTCTTGGACACCTTTAGCAGTCAATTTAACACAATTCGAACTATCATCAGAACTTAACGAAAATAGCAAACATTTGTTATCTTCCATCGCTGCTTTTAATTCACTATATTCAGATATACCTGGAATGATATATCAAATAATGGAACCTTTCATTCACAATCACAGAGAATAGTTTCAATCACATACCAAAATGATTGTTTCACACCTCGACACGAATTTTGAGATCTGCTAACCATATTATCATTTTTAGGAAGATTATAAAATTCGTTTGAATCTTATCCTGAAGATCCTAACATAGGTAGCGGAGCATGTGTTGAGTTGTGAAACAATCATTTCGGTTTGGGCACCTGAAATATGAAAAGTTGCATTAAATCATTTTTGCATGAAAGAATGCATCTATATTTTTAATATAGTGTAAGGGGTCGAATGAGGCTTCAGAAAATGAAAACTGCGTTTTTGTGGAAATTATTTCCACCCCAATTCCTCCAACTGCTCTACTATTAGGTAGATGTATGAGAACAACGGTTGAATATCTCCGAAACACATCACAATTTTTCGAAATGCACATGGTGGTTACACAATATATCTGCATTTTGGATTGAGGAATCTCACATCATTTTCTCAATCATCAGTGTGAAATTGAAGGAATATTCCATCAGGAATGTTGGACTGCATGGAGGTCGTTACTTGGTCCAATGGCGATACAATAAATTGTGATAAGGTCTGCAAATGCCTTTTTATTTGTTAGCATCGATAGGTTCTTCAAAAACTCAGTTCTAATCTTGGAAGCTTCAATATCGATCAGTTATGTATAGGGCTCGTATTAACTTCATTACTCCACTATCTTGGGGAATAGTTAGATAGTTTCGTGGTGTAGTTTGCGATTGGTGAACGTAATCCAAAGTGTACTTGTGTCAATAGAACATGATTTATTGGAGAAGTTCGAAGATATTTAATCGATTAGCAGAGGATTCCGAAATATTTTCGCAACTTGCATGAAATTCAATTAGCTGACTTTTCGCCTTACTCCTGTAGATAACCCTGCTCGAGCTGCTTTGGTGCATCTCTGCTTGATGAACTATTCAGAACAGTTGGGTATGATTCTCCCAACTCTGCAAAACTCCAACTTACTCATATTCAGTTTTCAGGCACCGTATAATAGTTAATAGGAGCAACTAGTAAGTATTATATTATTAAAAGTTTGTGTGGCATGATGAATTATATATAGCTTTTGTAACACAAGACCTCATTATAACATCAATTTTCGTCGACCTGTAGTAGATAAGCGATATGGCACTTTCCGCAGAACAACAGTTATAAAAATGAGAAGAATGCATGTAACAACATTTCAATTTAACAAAATAGATACAATGAGATGGAAGTGATATCGGGGGAATTGTCAAAATAGTTATTTATGTAATAAGGATCATAAAGACGATCATTATGGTACAAGTCGTGATTGTTATCGGGCGAGGCGTAGCCGAGTCCGATAACACGGCGTGTGCCATACTGATTGTTTATGATTCGTATTACATACAAAATTTTATCTGATGGCATTTATATCAATACATTTTCGAAAAATTAAAAACTGCATTTTCGACATGTCACAATGACAACTATTTTTGAAGGAGTAAGTATTGTGTAGTTTCAAATATTAGTAGGTGAGTGAGCTGTGCTTTGCCATTATATTAATATTACAAATTATAGTAATTGTTCTTTTACCATTTATAATAAATAGTTTTGTACATAGTTATGCATTTTGAATAAACTTTTTTGATCAAACCATTACATGTTTTTCTTATAGAATTTCATTATGGTACTTAGTCCCATAATGAGCTTCCTTATGTCATCAAAATTGAGTGACATAACGTTGTCATTATGACATGCCATCAGATAAAAATATAAATATAGCTAGTTCGGTCGGTATTGAGAACGCCATTCAATGATATTCAGTGAGTCCAAGATAAGGATGTCTATCATGAGGCATAGTTGATGATGGTTTGTCCCGAGGTTTCTCCAAAACGAAACGTCGTACGGAGAATATCTCAACACTATTTTGTAGAGCTTCAAGAATGGAAATGAGAAAGTGTATCCTGTTTTCATATACCTCTCTTATCAACGTCAGAAAGAAATTTTAACGATCCGCATGATAGACATCCTTCTCTTCGACACAGTGTATATACACGTTGCAATTTACATGATATCCTCAGTTTCGTTCTCAAATTTTCAATTCCATTACGTAGTTTTGCAATCAATTCCTCTTTCTTCATGATAATTTTGTTTTGCATTTGGTGTGTTGATAATGATGGGTTGCGTAAGGTTGCGTGCAAGAACTGTCAGATGACCGACCCTGGAGATGAATCATTGAAACACAACCTCACTTTTCTTACTTGTTCACAAATGATTGAAATAGTTTTGCACAATTATTCTGGAATACGAATCGTGTTTTTCGGCTATTTATTAATTCGCGCATGCCATCAGATTGTGCTGTTTTACAATGTACAAAAAATGCAGCGAGAAACGAAGGAATCCGGTTGGTACATTATGATTTAAAAGTCAGTACCTACTGTAGTCACTCACATATAGTTTTCATTTTGAAATTTGGTAATTTCTCTGATTTCTCATCGGAATTCCATCTGCAATAGGGGCTAATAGAAATACTCGTGAAATTTCTAGAAGAATGCAAGAAGATTGTATTCATGCAATCAAACGGGAGGACTGGTCTGACATGCTGACGAAATAATATGATCGTCTGTGTTGTAGACATTTTCAATATATTAGCAGTATTAGCTTCTATTGCAGAAGTGGCAGAAGGAATTTCAATAAGAAATGACATAATTTAATAATGAGAACTATGTGAGATAACTATTTACCTGAATAATCATATTCCTTCGTCTCTCGCTGCATTTTTTGTGCATTGTGAAACAGCACAATGAGAAGGCATGCTTGGATAAATGGATAGCGTAAAAAACACGATTCGAATGCCAATATTGTGAAAAACTATTTCAATCCTTCATCCTTTGACTCCTCTGTGAACAAATAAAAAAAGTGAGGTTGTGTTTCAATGTTTTACAGAAAAGTGAGGTTGGGTTTCAATATTTCACCTCTAGGGTCGGTCATCGTGCACGCGACCAATAAAAGATTCTTTTCGAATGAATCTTCTGTTCGAAAATGGACCTAGAATATGATAATTTCCCATGTTATAAGAAGTGAATTTCTATGTATGCACCTCACAGATTCTGCTTGTCTCCTAATCATTCTTTCATCCATGCTGATCCATACATTCCTTTCATATGAGAATGGTTGATATTTCCTTTGGAAATTTAAATGAATAAAATCCATTCTCTGGAGAATTCCCAAAATTCATTTCACAGCAGGACATTTTCATTCATGCTGTCTTTTCAATAGTTTATGAAATTATATTCCAATTCTGACGTTCATGAAATGTATTGTCCAATTTAGACAATTTTGAATCGAAAAGGGCAGAACGACTATGGTGCTTTTGTCAAAATACAAGGTGTGTAACTTGATAAATCTGAACTTCTGAACCTTCAAAAACAGTATCGTTTCTGCATGTGTCTGCAAAACTACCGAACATTGCTTCAACAAAGAAGTTGGGGGAAAAAGTTCCCCTAGCCCCCCTTTTTCCCACGCCCCTGAAAAAATTATTCATGATATAAGTGCTAAAAGTGACATTTCATTTTTTGAGAAAGGAAGTTTCATCCCTTCGAACAAGAGAAAAAACACTTTAGCACATATATCATGCACTATTTTTCCTACAAACACCATTAAAAGTCCAAATTAACGCATAACTATTCTACATTACTTATTAATTGATTAAATAACAGCCTCGAGATTATCAGTTTTGAATCCAATTCGATCTAATCTATTCATGAAACAAGTTACCAAGGTAAACTAAAAATGAATTTGTTGATTTATCTTTCTTGACAACTAACGTCAATAAATCACGAATCATTCTTTCTCGTTTCTTCGTTCCTCGATGGAAAGTGCCCAAAAAAATGAATTTCTTCTGCCACAAATTGATGAAGCTGCCAATGAAGCTGTTTTTGAATTATTGCCTAGTAAGTCAAAGCGATAGTACGAGTTTTCATACAAATGTTTCTTGAAATGGTGTGATCAGAAAAATGTCATAAATGATCATGACATAAGCAGATATCACAAGCTTGTGGCTTTTTTAAAGCGAAAGGGTGAAGGATATCGACCGAAAAAGTCAAAAGTATTGACAAGAGAACAAATCGACAAATTTCTCGCAGAAGCCCCAGATGAAATATATCTAATGCAGGAAGTTGCTGCGATATTTGGTGTTTTTGGAGCCTGTCATCAAGAAATACTGTGCGATTTGACAATAAATAATATCGAGGATTCCGGAACTTCACTGGTTGTGCATATACCAGACACAAAAACTAATGTGCAACGCACCTTTGTTGTAAGTGGTACATTGTATATAAACTACTACAAAAAGTATATAGCCCTTCGTCCAGGAGATATTAATCATTCTAGAGTTTTTATAAAATGCATTAAAAA